CGACAGTGGTGCGGCCAGCCCCACTGCCTGCAGGGCCTTGCTCACCCTTCGTTTGCCCTGGATGTGTCCCAGCAGCGTGAGCACCCAAGTGGACGGGTGCCCAACCGGCCTCGGGTCGTGCGGACTGGATCATGCGGGTCTCACTCAGAGGATCTCATGCAGGCAACGCGTCCACCAGAAGCCCGGCAGGGTGGCCGGACGAGAGGTCACAGTCTCTCGGCGGCCAGGAGGATGGGGGCAAGATCGGGAGCAGGCGGCGCTCCAGTCGGCCAGGCTGGCAGCGCGAGAGGCACGGTGCACGGCTGGGAGGCCCTCAGACCCTGCAAGGCCTACTCGCGGGAGTCGTCGATGGCACGGCCTCCAGGTGCCAACTCTCGAGGCCGGGACACTCACCCCGCAGCTCCTTGGTACCTCCTGGTGGGGTGATGTGGCTCACCTCCTGAAAGCACTGCTCGCTAAAGTCCGGAGCTTGGCCACCACCCCGGGGCGGCACCTCCCTGTCTCAGAACTCCGGAATTCTTCTCCGCCATCCTACCGCGGGTGTTGCCCTCCACCGCCTCGGCGCGCGCCGCCCCCCATTGTGCCCGCGGCCCCACGGGCCCGACGTGGCCCGCTGCCACGGCCAGCTTCCGAGCTCCCCTCCCTCTCCAGGGCTCCCCAGTGCATCGCACGCTGTCGAATCCTGCCAGCGAAGGCCCCTTACCCTGGGCTGGCTTGGTTCAGGTGCGTTCCAGAAGTGGCAGGTCTCAAGGGCTCACCCTTCCCCCCTCCCCCAGGCTCCTCCCTCTCTCCATCTTATGTGTCCTGAGAGGCTGGCTCCAAGCTGGGCTCCCCTTATCAGGCTCAGGTCCCTTCCCTGCACCACTCCCGGGGCCTTCAGCTACACACTCTGTTGTCTCCCTGGCCTCAGTGGGGGCTGCTCCTCCAGGGCTGGAGGCAACACCCTCTGTAGATGCTGAGAAATTCCAGTTCTGAGACAGGATGGGTGCCGCCCCGGGTGGGTGGCCAAGCCCTGACTTACAGCAGTGCTTTCAGAGTGACCACATCACCCACCAGAGTCCAGGGAGCCTGGCCTGAGCGCTGCCCGGTGCCCTGAGGACGCACCTGAAACCCATCCCACCCGACACTCCCCATGGGCCTTGCAGGGTCTGACCTCCCGGCGTGCACCTGCCTTCCCCTGCATCCTGGCCGCTCAGCCTGCCTGCTCCCCATCTTCCCCCATCCTGCCCGGCCCAGAGACTGTGACCCTCTCTCTGGCCACCCTGACCCTTCTGTGACCCCGTCCTGTCAGAACCTCTGACTGAGACCTCCCAGATCCATCCACACCCATGCCTTGGTCACTCTCTCACTGGGCTGCTCAGCGCTGCTGGGGACACATCCAGGGCAACAAGGGTGACCAAGGGCCCCGCAGGCACTGGGGCTGGCCCCACCACTCCCGCTGCAGCCTCAGCTGGCTCTCAGGGTAATTGGCCTTCAGCCCTCAGCCTCCTCCCAGCCACTGCAAAAACCAGGACATGGGATGCCTGCCTGTCCTCCGCCTACTGTCCTGTCTGCCCCGACTCGGCCCCTCCATCCACCCTGCACAGTGCTGACTGAGCCAGCAGGAAGCAGAGTCTCTGGAGGGCCACGCAGAGACTTGGGGACTGACCGAGTCCCCCCACTGAGAGGTCCCAGATGAGCCACTGTTCCCTGCCCACCCCATCTGTTGTCCTGCCCAGGCTGTCAACTCCACCCTGGGCTGGCTTGGTTCAGGTGCGTTCCAGAAGTGGCAGGTCTCAAGGTCTCACCCTTCCCCCCTCCCCCAGGCTCCTCCCTCTCTCCATCCTGTGAGTCCTGAGGGGCTGGCTCCAGGCTGGGCTCCCCTTACCAGGCGCAGGTCCCTTCCCAGCACCACTCCCGGGGCCTTCAGCTGCTCGCTCTGTTGTCCCCCTGGCCTCAGTGAGAAGCCAAGGCCAGGGCCCTGCCCTTCGTCTTCTACAACCTATCAGGGCCAGGGCCAAGGCCCTCACTGTCCCCATGCCCCTTCCTCTTGGCTGAGCCCCCTGAGCCCTCAGAGGTCTGCTATACAGCTGCCCACAGGCCAGGCCAGGTGTATCCCCTGCCCTGTGGCCACAACCCTCAGATCTCACCAAGGCAGGCCCTAAGGGGACAGGGCCAGATCCTCAGGCTGCCTCCTCCTCTCCAGCTTACTTGGAGACGACAGTGCTGAGAGTCCCCCTCTGTCCTGACTCCCTCTCCTGAGCTCCCTAAATGTGTCATGAGGCTATGCCCTAACCGTGACCACGGGCTGGGCCTGCAGGAGAGCCTGGAAGAGTTCTGACCCTGGAGAGGAGATGGGTCCAGCCAGGGAGACGTGTCCTACTTCAGAGAAGCCTTTCTAAAAGCAAAACCCATCCCTGAGGTGAGATTGGTGGCTGGGGGCGGGGGGACAGAAGACTCACTGCACAATCCCGAGGTGATTCATGTATTTCCTGATGTTGACCTGCTCATTCCCCATATCCGCGGCTACCCCAGCTCGGTGTCCCTGAAACCCAGAGGAGGCCAGGGTAAGCGGGGGCAGGGTGAGAGGTGTGGGGGGCCCAGGGATGTGGGCAGCCCCTCTCCACCCGGTGATCTTAGGGAGCCCAGGACCCTCTGACCAGGGCACAGCGGGAGAGGCAAGGTCCTGCCTCCCTCGAGGGAGCAGCCCAACCTGTACCTGCTCATACTTAGTAATGATGGTGTTGCCTTGCCCCTGGGCAGGCAGGGTATCCGGGTCCTCATCCATCTCCATCCTGCAAGACAAAGTCATCCAAAGGCTCTGCTGCCCCTGAGAGCTCCAGAGAACAGCCGAACCACGCTCACTGCACTCCCAGACACACTCCAGTCCGGTGAGCCCCATTCCACCACCCCTCCCAGATGACAAGGGGCCAGACTACGTGGCCCCACCCCTGGCTGGATCTCTGGAGTCCTTGCCTCCAACCAGTGGTGGGCTCCTTCCTGAGGACTTGAGCACATGGAGACCCATTCGGGGACAGAGAGGCCCATTGTGCCCAAACACCCCAAGGCAGACACACACCTGCCCCAGCAGGACAAACGCTGTCCACTTGCGGATGGTGAAGGGCCCACGATGGCCTGTTCTGGGCACCTGGAGGCAAGTGGAGTCAGGGACCGGATGTCTCTTAGGATCGTTCAGAAACCAGGAAGATACTCAGTTTTCTGTAGGAAGCAAGACATCTGGTGACTGCTTCATTCTGCCCCAATTCTCACTCACTCTAGCCAGTGAAGCCACTTCAGGAACAACACCAGCCAAGCAGTTTGGTTTGAGGAAAAGATGATCTATTGACTCCGGAGCAGCCTCTGTGCTCGTGGAGACCCCGTCTCAGGTGGAGGATGGCGGACACCACAATTCCTAGCTGTCAATACCGGAGGGGACTTTGTTTTCCTGGGTCACCAAGAAAGAACAAGAGAACTCTGGGGCCTTAGTCCTAGAGAACACCCGGGGGGACCGTCCCTGCTGGGAATACTCGGGGCAAAGGGATGGTAAGGCCTCTAGAGGATCAGACAGAGAGAATGGGATGCTGCGGGAGGGTTCCAGTCCCCAAGCCCCTTTGACCAGGAGGGACGATCGTCACCCTCCAGGCAGCCCTCCAGGGCTCCTTCATTTTCCACAACTGCTTGAGGGCAGAGGGATCCCTGCCCCACTCCCAGACAAAGGACCCCATATGTCCAGTGGGTCCAGCAACCATCAGTGACCGCATCTGAAGTCTGAGTTGGTGAGCCCTCCTCCTGTGGGAACCCAGCTTAGGACCCAGACTTGGACTGAGAATTGCAACCTCCACCCCACCCACAGGGGCTCTGTCCCAGTGGCTCTTCCAGGACCAGACCCTGCCTCATTGAAGTCCAGAACTCCAGGAAGATTTGGAATCTACAGTAGGGAGGCCACAGAGGTCAGAGCTCAAGTCCAGCATGGCAAAGGGTAGGGCTGAGAGCAGAGACCAGGTCACATCTGGGCCTCTGGGCCAGTCACCGCCTCTCTGAGTCTACACATCTCACCTGTGGAATGGCTACATTTGGGGACAGCACCCACCTCACAGAGTCACTGTGAGGACAAAGGAGAGGGCGGTCCACTTAGTCAGTGCAGAACATGCACCCGGTGAGTGCTCAGGGATGACCCTCCTCGGCATCTGCCCAGAGGTCACTCACCTGAGTCTGCTGAGGCAGCTGTGTCTGTCACTTAGAAAAGTCGTTTAAGCATAGAACCAGACACCTGTGTGTATCCTGTGTCCAAGTGCCGCACAACACAGAGGTGGGCGGGTGGGCGGATGGGCAGTCACTAAGCACCAGTGACATTGTGGGGTCATGGCACCCATCACAATGGGCCATTTCCCAGGTCAAGAGGGCCCAGAGTCAGTGTCCTCCAGCCCCCAAGGTGTCCAAATGTGTTTGTGCAGGTGAGCATGCACGTTTATGTGGGTGAACATGTGTGTGCACAAGTAGCCTCTCTGGCCGGGGCTGGCTGTCCCACTTCCATGTGCACCCAAGTCCTCATCAAGTCCTCAGCAGTGTCACCTTCCCTTGAGGCCTGTGGCCAGCATCAGAGCATCCATGGGTCCTCCCCAACCTCAGGCCTCCCCACCCGGGGCAGTCCTGAAGATGCAGATTGGGGCTAGGGGATAGAGGGCACAGGGCAAGGCCCCTCATTAGGGCGAACTCAGCTAGACTGTAAAATGCTAGATGTGAGTGGCAGGGTCGGATTCCACACATCTTCTCACCTCCTCCTCCCAGTAGCCTTCCAGGATGCCATGACTCATTTCTGCTACTGATGGAGGCAAGGAGGCTTTAAGGACAAACCCCGTGCCTGAGGTCACCCAGCAACCATCTGGCCAGGCCCCCACTCACCAGACCCCTGCTGGCCAGGTTTTCACTGACCGTTTTCCCAGTGACCAGGCCTTCTGACTAGGTCCTCACTGATCAGGCCCCTGATGACCAGGCTCTAACTGACCATGTCCCCACTGACCAAGTTTTCATTGACTAAGCCCCAGTGGCCAAGCCTCTGCTGACCAGGCCCCTGATGACCAATTCCCCACTGACCATGTCCTTGCTGACCAGTCCCCCAGCAACCAGGCCTTCCTGACCAGGTCCCCCACTGTCCAGGTCCCCCCTGCCCAGGCCCCAGAGCAGCAGTGCTCAAGGTCCCCTACCAGAACTGCCCACAGGCAGAGGGCTCCCTACTCCCAGACAAGGGACCCCATGTGTCCAGTGGGTCCCGCAGAGACCATCAGTGACTGCATGTGAAGTCTGAGTTGGTGAGACCTCCTCCTGTGGGGACCCAGCTTAGGGCACAGACTTGGACCGAGCACCACCTCCCTCCACCCCACCCATAGGAGTTCCATCCCAGGGGCTCTTCCATGGCCAGACTCTGTCCCATCAGGCGGCAGAAAACCCTGGGCAGATTTGGAATCTAGGGCTACAGAGGTCAGGGCGTGCACAGGGCAGGACTGAAAGCACAGGCCAGGATCACATCTGGGTCCCTTGGCCAGTCACTACCTCTCTGACCCTAGACATCTCACCTGTGGAATGGGGTGCATTCGGGGACAGCACCCACCCCACAGAGTCCACCAGGTCAGTCCAGAACAGGCACCCAGTGAGTGCTCAGGGATGACCCTCCTCGGCACCTGCCCAGAGGCTAGCACTGCCCACCAGGTACTGACTGTCCCCAGGTCAGCAGGGAGGGAACAGAGCAGGTCACACTCACCTGAGTTGGTTGAGTCGGCTGTGTCTCTTACTTAGCAAAATCTCCTCTTCTGAGAACCAAACAACTCTATGTCTTGTCTCTAAGAGCTCCAGACATAGAGAGGGCAGGCAGGCAGGTGGGCGAGTGCTCAGCACCAGTGATATTGTGGGGTCATGACACCCATCACAATGGGCCCCTGCCTGGGTCAGCAGGGCACAGTCAGCACCCTCCACCCTCTGACGTGTCAACATGCGTGTGTGCAGTTTGTGCATGTGAGCAGGCATGTGTATGTGGGTGAACACATGTGTGCATGCGTTTGTCACTGCTCTGGCTGGGCCCGGCTGCCCCACTCATATTGTACCCAAGACACTGGGTCACCCTTGTCATTGTCTCCTGCCTCGGGACCCATGGCCATCGTCAGAGCATCCACGGTGTTCCCTAAACTCAGACCTCCCCATCCAGGGCAGTCCTGGCATTGCAGATGGAGGATAGGGGGCAGAAGGTTGAAGGTTGGGGGCAAAAGGCAAAGGGCAGATCCCCTCCCTAGCAAGGGACTCAGCTAGGCTGTAAAGTGCTAGATCTGTTTGGCAGAGCTGGATTCCACACACCTGCTCACCTCCTCCTCCCAGCAGCCCTCTGGAGTGCCATGACTCGTTCCCACTACAGATGGTGGCAAGGAGACTCCAGGGACAAATCCTGCCTGAAGTCACCTAGTAGCCACCTGGCCAGGCTTATGCCAGCCAGACCCCCACTGACCAGGCCCCCACTGACCAGGTTCCCACTGACCAGTCCCCCACTGGGCAGAACCCTGAGCTGCGGTGCTCAATGTCCCCTGCCAATGACTCCTCCCTCAGTCCACAGACCTCCCTTTCCCTCATCAGCACCCACAGGCCATGCCCTAGGGGGTCTTCTTGGTCAGGCTCTTCCTCCAGGACACAGGGAGGGACAGTCGGCCTCAGCCTCTGGGTGCCCAGCTTCACACTTGCCCCCAAAAGCCCTCTGGGCTCACCTCAAAGGGGGTAGTGAGGTGGCCTGGCACTACCCAGACATGATATCTCAGCCTATTCCTCAGCCGCAGAGCCAGAGGAACGGGGGGACATTTTTCAGACCAGGCACCCCATTTTGCTGGGTCTCCCAGGGTTCTTCCTAGGCACAGCACCGAGGCTGCAAGATGACCGGCCCAGAACCCTTGAGACTAGGCTGGGGACCACATGAGAACTGTCCCCAGATGACCAGAAGACCCTTTGCTAATTTCCTGGTACCTCATTTCTCACCAGTTACCCTTCCCCCAGTTATCCTTCCCCCACCAGGAATCCCCTTCTTGCAGAGTCGATGAGGAGAGGAAGATGGTCACAGAATCCATGGAAAGAAAGAAAACAAAATGACAATAGAGCGTCATCTATTTCCTGTCCATCCGAAAGGAAAGCCTAAGGAAGCCTATTGGGTTCCATCATCCCGAGGGTCCCAAGGATGGCATCACACAGTGCAATGCCCAACAGCAGGGGCTGTGCTCCATCCCTGCAGACGTCACTGAGGGCACAACTGGGGTTGTCCAGGGTCACTGACCTGGCCACACAGCAGAAACTGGGTCAACAGGAGTGCACACATGCACACATGTGTACACTCACATACTGGAATAAAATGAATTGAATTTTGTAGCAAGTGTCCACGTGCACACGCATGCACACACACACACACACACACACATATAAACTTGTTGCTGATCTGTTGACTTATCTCATTGGCATGAAACAGCAGCTAAGCCTGTAATTGCTCTGCCTTTCCCGGGATTTTTCCTTTAGTTTCTCTGACTGCTGGGTTACTGGCCTATGTTTAGCTTCATGAACATGGGTTTCACTTTATTTTTATGGGGTTCCAGCTCTTGCTCATGGAATCCCTCCTTGCCTGTTCTGTAATCTTCCCTTGTTTACTGCCTGTGGACTTCAAGTACCAGACACAGAGAAAGCTTTGTAGAGACTGTTTACTCCACCCCTACAATTTCCATAGCAGGTCTCTTAATTCCCATCACCATCCAGGGAGGGTCATTGCTGGGATCCTAGAAATCATGTGCCTTGTCTCGACGGCCACAGTGGTAACCATAATAGTCAGTTCTTCCCTCTGTGCAATTCTGGAACATAAAAATCTTCTCTGGTAACAAGACTACAGAAAGCAATGAAAGTAACATTAAACAGAGTTTGTTGGCCTGTGTTCCTAAGAAATTTAATGTTTTTACATAAATAATGAAGAAGAAATGACTTTTCTGAGGTTCCTATCATTTATGCCATGGATTGGACTCTTCTGTGAAGGCCATTTCATTGATGGATGTGGATAGTTAGCTTAACTTCAAGTAAAAGGTTAGAGAGCAAATTGTAAACACAACTGTGCTTTTTGACACTCAAACGACATTAATTAGTTTTGGATCTCTAGAAATATATATT